ATGGGGGAGATGCATGTATACCTGTGGCTGATGCTGATGTTTGGCAAAAACCATCACAATATTGTAAAGCAACTGCATGTTTAGCTGCTCAGGTGTGTCTGATTCTGCAACCTCATGGGCTGTAGCCCACCAGGCCCCTCTGTCCACGGGGATTCTCCAGGTAAGAGCACCAGAGTGGGTGGCCATGTCCTTCTCCAGGGGATCTTTCTAACCCAGGTATCGAACCCAGGTCTCCAACACTGCAGGTGGATTCTTTACCATCTTAGCCACCAGGGAAGCCCTCTAAAGCAATTATCCTCCAATTAAAATTAAAAAAGAGGGATGCTGAAGAAGGACTAATCTAGTTTATGCAGTACCTTTTGTGTGGAAAGAACCCTTCCTCAAGAGGTTGTACTACCTTACATGGAAATTTATCACAAAATACTGATTTTCTTAGAATAACATATAATTGCCATCTGTTGTAAAAATTGTCATATTAAGTTTTCAAAGCCACAAAGTCTCTAATGTGACTGATAAACCCAGGTATCGAACCCAGGTCTCCCACACTGCAGGTGGGTTCTTTACCATCTGAGCCACCAAGGAAGCCCTCTAAAGCAATTATCCCCCAATTAAAATAAAAAAAGAGACGTTGCAGAAAAACTAATCTAGTTTACACAGTACCTTTGGTGTGGAAAGAACTCTTCCTCAAGAGGTTGTACTACCTTACATGGAAATTTATCATAAAATACTGATTTTCTTAGAATAAGATATATAATTGCCATCTGTTGCAAAAACTGCCGTATTAGGTTTTCAAAGTCTCTAATGTGACTGGTAAACAGTAGGACTGTGCAGTGTACAGCCTGAGCAACCACACACATATATCCCTGCCTGCAGAATATGAGGCCCTATGAGAATATATGAGGTTTGCCTTATTTTTCTAGCCAGGACACTTAGGTTATCTCCTTTATTCTTGCAGGGCATTATTCTTCTATGAACTGAACTGTGGTTTCCAAACTCACCCCTGCCCACAAAAATTCATGTGTTTGAGGCTTTAGGAGAGAATTAGGTTTAGATGCGGTCATTGGTGGGGGCAGGGGTAGATGGACTCATGATAGGATTAGTGCCCTCATAAGAAGAGGGGGACTTCCCTGGTGGTTTACACAGTTAAGAAATGGTCTGCAATGCAGGAGACTGAGACCTGGGTTCGATCCCTGGGTTGGGAAGATCCCCTCGAGTAGGAAATGGCAACCCACTCCAGTATTCTTGCCTGGAGAATTCCACGGACAGAGGAGCCTGGTGGGCTCCAGTCCATGGGGTCGCAGAGAGTCAGATACAGCTGAGCGCACTAGCACAGCGGGAAGAAGGGGAGGCACGTGGCACTCTCTCTGTCCTGTGAGGACACAGCAAGAAGGCAGCCACCTGCAAGCCAAGAAGAGGGGCCTCACCAGGAGCCAGCCCAGCCGGCACCTGACCTGGGGACTCCCAGCCTCCCATGAAACACTGTCTAAACCTCTCAGTCTAAGGTACTTTGTCTCGGCAGCCCAAGCTGAGTAGCACATATTGGTACCAAGACGCGGGGTGATGCTGTCACAGATACCCAAAAATGTGGACCTGACTTAGGAACTGGGTAACCGACAGAGACTAAAGAGTTTTAAGATGCATTCTAGAAATATGTATGTTAAGGGGGATTCTGGTGAGGCCTCAGGCAGAAAGGAGGAACATGTTAATGGAAACCGGAGGAAAGCCATGAGCCCTGTTTTAATGTGGCCAAGAACTTGGCTGACTTGTCTCCAGGGTTTTGTGGAAGATAAACCTCCAGAGGATAAAATCGGACACTTTGCTATGCAGATCCCAAAGCAAGGCACTCAAAGAGTGGTTTGGTTCCTCCTGACTGCCTATAGTGTAACACAAAGGAAAAGAGGTGAATTGAAGAGTTAAGCAAAAAGCCGCCAGGACTGGACAATCTGGGAAAATTTTCAGCCTATCTGTATTACGAAAAATGAGATGCCCTGACCTGAAATGAAGATTAAGGGTGTGGCTGAACAACCATTTGATTAGAAGATCATGGGTACAACTCCAGGACTTAATCAGACATCTCAGCAGAAGCTAGAAATGGAGATAGGATTACAGTCATGCCTCAGTATCCACTGGGGGCAGGGAGGGGGCAAGTTCCAGAAACCTCACGTTTAACAAAATCCAAGGATGTTCAAATTCCTCATATAAAATGACACTGTATTTGCATATAACCTAGGCACATCCTCCCATACACTTTAAATCATCTCTGGATTACTTGTAATATCTAATACAATGTAAAAGCTATATAAATAGTTGTAAATACAATGTAAATGCTATGTAAAAAGTTACTTGCATGTGGCAAATTAAACTTCTGCTTTTTGGAACTTCCTGGAATGCTTTTTGCTGTTGTTGTTGTTGTTTTGGAACTTTTTTTTTTTTTTAATACTTTTGACCTGTGGCTGGTTGGAACCTGGATATGTAGAGGGTTTATTGTATACAATGACACTGCCCATTTGAACTACAGGGGACAGAAAAAACAAGATGAAATGAAGGAAAACTGCTGGACTTCTTTGATGAGCCAACGGGGCTGGATCATAGAGGTGTTTGACTGTGAGCATGCCCTATTCTCCAGGAAAAGGAAAGATGGACCCCAAAGGCAATTCAGAGGTCATCAGAACCACCCTCAAAGTTTCAACAGGCCAGATAGCCCCTGACTGAAGCCTAGGGGCCAGGACTGGCTTGTGGGTTCAGGACAACCTGTGGAACCTTGGGGCCATGACCCTCTCGGCAGAGCCACAGAAAAGGGACTCCTGGCCCAGTGGGTCTGGAAGGCAGGGCAGTGAACCAAACAGGACCATCCTTGAGACTGACGATCTAGTGGCGCTTCCCTCGCCAAGTTTTGACTTGCTTGGGATCTGTTACTCCTTTTTCCCTCTTCTGTTTCTCCATTTTGGAATGGAAATGTGTAACCTTTGCTTGTAAGCACATCACTTGTGGATTCACAGGTTCACAGCTGGAGAGGAACGTTGCCTCAGGATGAACCCTACCCAAGTCTCACCCACATCTGATATTTAGGTGAGACTTTAGACTTGATGCTGGAAATCAGTTAAGGCTTTGGGGGCTGTTGGAAGGGAATGAATGCATTTTTTTATGAGAGGACACACATTTGGTGGGGGAGCAGGGCTGGAATGTTATGGATTAAGTATTTGTGTTCTGACCAAATTCATCTGTTGAAGCCCTGATGGGATGGGATCTGTACGTAGGGCCTTTGGAGATAATCAGGTCACAAGGGTTGGAGTTCTTGAGACGGGGTCAGTGTCTTCACAGGAAAAGAGATGGTAAGAGCTCTCTTTCAGCCTGGTGAGCACATGGCAAGAAGGAGGCTGTCTGTAAGCCCATAAGAGAGCTGTCACCAGAACCCAACCAGGCTGGCACCTGGGTTTGAACTTCTAGCTTTCAGAACTGTGAGAAACAAATTTCTCATGCTCATGCCACCCAGTCTATGGTATTTTGTTATGGCAGCCACAGAGGATTAAGACAGTTCTCATCATCTGTTAAAGGAACTATCCCTGAAGATACAGTGCTAATGGCTGTTATTATCCCTCAGAGGGACACTTGAATCTTGGGGTGTAAACCCAGTCCCCGAAGAAGGAAGTGCTCCTGGTGTATTTAAGGCAGAAAGGAGGTGCTGCCACCTCCCGAGAGACTCGCTCCCTCATCAGACGGCAGCCAACACACCCCTCCACCCACGCCCGAAGACGGTCCTGGCTCTGGGTTCCGAGGCCTTGCTCTCTGGGAAGGAGCCTGATCCATCAAGATGCCAGGGTATGAAAGTCCCCGAGGCAGGAGTGTGCCATCCTCACAGCCTCCTTCTGGCTGTAAAATTAGCCCTGCCTGTTTCAGGGAGCCATCTGGCGGGTGGGAGGAGCAGGGAGTAGGCTCTGACCCTGCTGGGGATGCCTGGCTCAGAGACAATGAGGAAAGTCATCAAGCGGCTTCTACATGCTTCCTTCCCCGCAGTTCCTGCGTTCGTATTCCGGGAGAAAGAAAAGGCATTCTGGTGATGACAGCAGGCCCTGCTAGGGGAAGAGCAAGGGCTGCTCTTGGAGGGGCTGGATCTCTGGGAATCCACGGTCTCCTGAGCCCCACGGGCCTTCCTGGAGGCTGAGCCTCTTTGGTCCCTTGTTCATTCCGCATTTCCCAGGGGTGCCCTGGTGTGTGAGCTGAGGGGAGACAAAGATGTGCAGGAAAACACCCCTCTCCTGCCAGGAGCCCACAGCCTGCCGTGGGAGTCAGGATCCCAGCCAGTCATCACCAAAGGCTGTGTGGAGTCCTGTGAGAGAAATGGCAGAACAATGGCACTGTGAGGACACGCAAGGGTGGAAGGAAGTCTTCCTGACCCTCAAGGAGGGCTCCCGAAGGAGGCCACGTTTACACACCATACATCAGAGTTCAAAGGTAGAGACAGGGTGGTCTGGGAACAGCTGAGGGGCTTAGGATGGGCTGGCAATGGACAGACCAGACACCCAGGCGGGGCGAGGTCCTAGTGGGCCTGTGGGTGGCACCGTGTGGTTTGGATTTTATCCCAGGTAGGTGTTTATCCAAAGATTTTCAGCAAAGGCAGGGGTAACCTCCCCAGAGAGGGATGGCATGCCCTCACCTGAAGCCTGGGCTCTCCCAGGAAGGAGCTGCGGGGTGCAAGCCCTTAGACCCTCCTCCTGGAGCCTGGCTGAGGCTGGTGGCCAGGGTCTTGCAAGTCCAGCCCAACCCTGACCGTGCTCTGTGTGGGTTTGGCCCGCATGTGCTGCCATGATCATATACCTTCGAGTCATTCGGGAAACCTTCGGTTCAGCTTCTCCGGTCATGGCTCAGGGTTTGTGATCTTAACACGTGAGAGTCCAGGAGTAGATGAATCTTGAAAGAAGAAATCATTAGGTCATACTGAGAAACTCACAGCGCTCCCTGCCCCTGCAGCCAACACACCCCTCCACCCACGCCCGAAGACGGTCCTGGCTCTGGGTTCCGAGGCCTTGCTCTCTGGGAAGGAGCCTGATCCATCAAGATGCCAGGGTATGAAAGTCCCCGAGGCAGGAGTGTGCCATCCTCACAGCCTCCTTCTGGCTGTAAAATTAGCCCTGCCTGTTTCAGGGAGCCATCTGGCGGGTGGGAGGAGCAGGGAGTAGGCTCTGACCCTGCTGGGGATGCCTGGCTCAGAGACAATGAGGAAAGTCATCAAGCGGCTTCTACACGCTTCCTTCCCCGCAGTTCCTGCATTCGTATTCCGGGAGAAAGAAAAGGCATTCTGGTGGTGACAGCGGGCCCTGCTAGGGGAAGAGCAAGGCTGCTCTTGGAGGGGCTGGATCTCTGGGAATCCACGGTCTCCCGAGCCCCACGGGCCTTCCTGGAGGCTGAGCCTCTTTGGTCCCTTGTTCATTCCGCATCTCCCAGGGGTGCCCTGGTGTGTGAGCTGAGGGGAGACAAAGATGTGCAGGAAAACACCCCTCTCCTGCCAGGAGCCCACAGCCTGCCGTGGGAGTCAGGATCCCAGCCAGTCATCACCAAAGGCTGTGTGGAGTCCTGTGAGAGAAATGGCAGAACAATGGCACTGTGAGGACACGCAAGGGTGGAAGGAAGTCTTCCTGACCCTCAAGGAGGGCTCCCGAAGGAGGCCACGTTTACACACCATACATCAGAGTTCAAAGGTAGAGACAGGGTGGTCTGGGAACAGCTGAGGGGCTTAGGATGGGCTGGCAATGGACAGACCAGACACCCAGGCGGGGCGAGGTCCTAGTGGGCCTGTGGGTGGCACCGTGTGGTTTGGATTTTATCCCAGGTAGGTGTTTATCCAAAGATTTTCAGCAAAGGCAGGGGTAACCTCCCCAGAGAGGGATGGCATGCCCTCACCTGAAGCCTGGGCTCTCCCAGGAAGGAGCTGCGGGGTGCAAGCCCTTAGACCCTCCTCCTGGAGCCTGGCTGAGGCTGGTGGCCAGGGTCTTGCAAGTCCAGCCCAACCCTGACCGTGCTCTGTGTGGGTTTGGCCCGCATGTGCTGCCATGATCATATACCTTCGAGTCATTCGGGAAACCTTCGGTTCAGCTTCTCCGGTCATGGCTCAGGGTTTGTGATCTTAACACGTGAGAGTCCAGGAGTAGATGAATCTTGAAAGAAGAAATCATTAGGTCATACTGAGAAACTCACAGCGCTCCCTGCCCCATGTGAGGCTGGGGGTTGAGCCAGAACTAGGTCCTGGGAGGGTCCCAGCCCTGATTCTGCCCAGTCAGGGCCTCAGGCTCTCGGACAAGGCATCTGTGTTCCTCTTTCTCTCCTGAGAATGTCTATAGGAAAACATACATACGCAGGCATGGAGCCCGGGCCACATACACGAGTCACAACCAAGGAAACAGGCTGCCACTTTCCCTGCTCTGCGTGTAGGGACTCTTGACGTCCTGCAAACAAATGAACCTGACTTTAACTCCATTACCAGGGCTAATCTGTCCCACCCCCTCCTGCCTCACACAGGCCATGGGCTCATTCACTAGGAATGGTGTGTGCACTTTGCCAAGTGCTCTGGAGGGCTCCGTTATGTGGTGTGTAGTGGAAAGGGTAGGGGGCAAAGGGCTAAAGGCCAAAGAGGTTCCTCTCCACCCCTGCCTGACCCCCAGGGGGCAGCTCTGTGCCCAGGCTCCGCCACTCACTGACCGTGTGGTGAGCTCAAGGCCACAGCAGCATCTTCCTGGGCTGTGCCCATTTTGTCTGCAGCCCCTCTGGGTTTACAGGAGGGAGAAGAGGGAGTCTCAGAGAAGAGCTCAGGTTAAGATTGTCTAGGGCAGTGACTCTCAACCTTCAGGTACATCAGAGTCCCCTGGAGGGCTGGGAAACTCAAGACGGCTGGCCCCACCCCGGAGCTTTCTTCAGTTTTTACTGGCGTATACTCGATCTGCAATGGTGTGTTTAGCTTCCGGTCTACAGCAAAGTGAATCAGTTAAACATAAACATACATCCACACTTTTTCAGATTCTTCTCCAATACAGAGTATTGAGTAGAGTGCCTAAAGGAGATCAGTCCTGGGTGTTCACTGGAAGGGCTGATGTTGAAGCTGAAACTCCAGTACTTTGGCCATCTCATTCGAACAGCTGACTCATTGGAAAAGACCCTAATGCTGGGAAGGATTGGGGGCAGGAGGAGAAGGGGACGACAGAGGATGAGATGGTTGGATGGCATCACCGACTCGATGGACATGAGTTTGAGTAAACTCCGGGAGTTGGTGATGGACAGGGAGGCCTGGCGTGCTGTGATTCATGGGGTCGCAAAGAGTCGGACA